ATTCCTGCTCTTGAGGATTTCCAGTCGTTTCTTTCTGCCCAAATGTTAAAAATGGTGGTTCCTTCATCTGGCCACGAAACATTCAGCTTCTTCACCTTTGGTGGGTTCACACTCAATTCTGTAAAAAAAAAACAAAAAGATTAGGCAAGGATTGAACTACTAAACATCGATCAAGTTGATCACTTGTCGTTTTTGTTGGAGTGTTCGTATTATATGGTAATAGTTTTTTTTTTTTTTTTTGTGGATTGTCTAATGCTAACATGAACGTATATTTAAAAATTTATGCTTGCAACAAAAGACTGCATGTTATAAAAATAAACTTCTCACATGTTCAATAAGAACCCACAGCACTACTAGAGTGTGTATTACACTCGCGACATTTTGATGGGTTAACTTATATTTATATGGTCCAGATGATTTGCGAGTTTTTCCTCATTTCGAATTTTCGACGCATAAAGGCGCGTGAGAGTCTCCTCCACCATGAAACCCTCTCCGGACTTGTCATTTGATAGTTTCACCGCCCTGTTTTATCCGTCCACGATTCAACTATTTTTCTTGTGATCATTTTTTTTATATATAAAATCAATGTTATTTTTCTTGTGATCATTTTTTATATATATAAAATCAATGCTAGCTTCCGTACCGCCTCAACTCTATCAAAGATTTTTTCTAAAAGAAAGAAAAAAGGTAGAAAAAATTTTTAAAAATTCGTAAAATGTTTTTCTCAGAACCGGATAAAGCCCATATCAAAAGGGCTTTATCCCTCGTAAAAAAAAAAGGTTCGTCAGCCCAAGCAAACACATCGCGAGTCCATGGGCTTTTCGGTGATTTTCCACTACAAATCTCTTATTCGCGTTTCTCTTCTCAAGTTAAGCTTCTCTCTCTCTCTCTCTCTCTCTCTCTCTCTCTCTCTCTCTGCGTGGAGATGCGTCCCCAAGCTGCTCGAACATGCGAAATCTGCGAGAAAGCGCAGTCAAGATACAAGTGCCCCTCTTGTCTTGCTCCTTAGTATGTCTTCCTTCTGATTCTAATTTCGGCTCTCGGCGGCTTTTATTTCTCTTTCGTTTCTCGATTTTCTTGGGGTTTTTTTTTTGTTTTGTTTCGGGCATTTTTCATGAATGTTCTTCGTTCTGTGGTTGCAGCTGCTCTCTTTCGTGTTTCAAGAAGCACAAAGGTAACGGGTTTTTATTCTTTCTGAATTTGAATACTTCTCTTCCGGCTCCTTTCTGTCGAGTTCATGAATTTTTCTGTGTGAATTATTCCCCGTCTCGATCGAGTTGAGTGCTTGATTTTGTCGATCTGTTGTTTTTTTAGCTGGGTTCCAGAATGAGTATCAAAGTTGGTATATTCCTTTATTGTCAGTAATTTGTTTGTTTGGTACCCCAAGAGAAGAAACCTGTCTGTAGTTGTCTTATCTCAGTGTAATACATAAGAATCTTGGGTGAATCCTGGTTCGTTCAATTACTTTATTGATGGTATCTTTCTTATAAAAGTAAATTAATCGCAGAGACTCCATGTGCTAAGCCCTCTTCAAACGAGGAGAAACCAGGTATTGTATTGTTAATGGCGGAATTTGGAATTGCGTTCCCTTTTTCTTGTACTGCCGGAAAGTGCTGAAGGGTTTCGAGTTCGTGTTTATGGTTTCGAAGCGGCAGCTCCACTGAAGGAAGTCCCGGTGGAAAGGCCAGTACACGTCGAGGAAGCCAGCCAAGTTGTACAAAAGACACAGCTGGAAGCTTTAGGTAATTAGCTCAAGACTTGGCCGATTATATGAATCCACAAGTTGAACAATGCAATTCCTTTTCTCGTATCGTCCCTTGGGATGCTTGCATCGATCAGATAACAATACCTTCAGCAGCTATAGCATTCGCCCCTTCTCCCGTTTCAGTAAAGCTGAGAGATTTTGTATAAGGACTTGGGAAGCTTCTATTAAATTCTGGAAGATATGAATACTTAGATCCATAGCCATTCCTAACGCCGGAAACTTTAATACTAACTCTGAAGAATATATGTTTTCTTTTATGCTGCAGCTTCTTCGAGCGAAGTATGTGAAGCTCTAAAGGACGAATCCCTCCAGAAGCTCATTCGCGATATCGATAGTTCGTCTGACCCTTTACTTGTGAGATACCTACATCCTCTTCATCAAGATTCAATCTTTTCCTTCTCCTTTTTCCCCTTTGACAGTTCTATTTTACTGAAAATGGGAAAAGAACAAAGCTTCCTTTTTTTTTTTTTTTGATAAAACAGCGTGTGTTTGCATCAGGAACTCGACAAAGCCATGGGAGTGGAGGCTTTCCGCGTATTCACCGATAAGGTACTTTACGAGCTCATGGGTTACCGTCAAAAGAATCAGTGATCAAGTTCTAGTCTTAATTTTCAGGTTCTGTCGCATATTTCCTCGTGATCAAGACCGGTAGGCATAGCTGCAGAATTGTTTGTGACAATGGCTGCTTCTGATATTGGTGGACAGTTCAGGAGCTGAAGACGGGTAATTTTTCCGTGTGAACTGAAACTTGTAAATGAAGTTATGCCAACAAAGAATGTATGGTTTTGGGTCTTTAGATTAGGAATCAATGTCGGGTTTGATGAGCCGTGAGACACAGTTAAGTACTTGCTATAACTATAGATCATAATATGGTCAGTCATGTAAACCCGACTTCTAAAATCCAACTGCGTCTACTAAATTTTACGTATCGAAAGTGGGAGCTCCAATAACAGAACATTTGCAAAAAACAAAGAAAAAGAAAGCTGCTGTTAGCTCTCTCTCCTTCTCTGTCCCAAACGTCAACCTAAAATGCCATGCAAATCTAATCTGTTGAGTTCTTGAACAAGTGGTTCATGTTTTTTCTTTCATATACAAAGGTTTTTTTTTTTTTAAGGAGTTGTACCTAAACTATGTTCTTCATCTGCAAGAACCGAGTCGGGTTTCATACTTCATTCTGCGTTTGAAGAAAGGGCAAGTATTGCTAACCTGATGACTGGTTCTCTCGATCCTCCTCGGGTTCCTTACTACTACTACTAGACTCGCTGGAACTGGGCTGCTCTGTAACTCTGTTTCTTATTTCTGCCTTTGGGAATAAAGCAATCTTTTTCTCAGCCATCACAGTTTATCATTCAAAGAAAACCTTTACAAGCGAAACCAGGAATAGGGTTTGGATAAAGGACCTGCAACATGGATGCTTGCATAGGGTCGAGACCAGGAAACAGCTGATCTGGTCCAAAGAAACCCGGGAAGGGCTGGAATGATTGCATCGCCGGGTTTGCCTGCTGGCTCGGTATATTGACTCTGGACGGGACAGGGAAGGGTGGGGTTGGAAATGGTTGGCGACGCATATGGTTATGAGCCATGGCTGGCATGGACGGATTCATGCCCATTGGCATGTGCTGCATGTTCTGGTGCATACCCTGATACCCCATTGACATCATCTGTGTAAAAATTGATTGATTTCAGGCCTAAAACCTCACCATAATTTTGACGTCCTTCATAGTATGGTCAAATGTTGTTGACGACATGGCAATGCATGTGCATGGATGGATGGAGCATGAAAAGACGAATCTTTATGTCGAGACAACAGTGTTTCACAAGACACACACCTGCACTTGCAGCTGAAGACATCTCGTGTATTCGGCAGCTTCATCCAGCACGGATGCTTTGTCCGACTGAAATCCCGACCGAAAGAGATGCAAACAATATCAAATCAGAACCAAGCGTACATTACTTGAGCGATAAGTTTCTTGAATTATACAAGAGACCTTGTTGCAGTGCGGCATCACTTCCTTCAGAGCCCTCAGCTTGTCGTTGATGTTACCCCTCCGTTTCTGCAACACATTACAAAAGATTTTACGGCAAAGAAACACATTCAGTATGCAGAGATTGGAGGGAAAAGCTACAAACCCTTTCAGCAAGATTATGAACTTCTGCAGATCGACACCTTCTCTTGGAAGTTGATCCAGAAGCTTGTTTCGTTTCCTGTACATCAGGAAACAGATAGGACTTTTAGTTTTTACTGTTGAGTAACCTTTTTTTAATCCAGGTATTTAAAAAGGTACACGTGGCACGGCCACGTCACCAGATGAGGCTAAGGCACTAAAAGTAAGTGTGCGCCAAGGTGGAGAACGGAAGAGGAATAGCGACCGACTCGGACCTCGACTCACCTCGCTCCGGCACTCGGTTCCGTCAATAGCTTCTCTGCCCTTCCACTTCCGCTCTCCGGTGATCTCCGTCCGTGAGAAAGTCTTCTCCACCTCGCCCTTCGAAGACGACGTCCGGGAGATCTCGTACAACGCCGCCGCTACACCACCGCCCGGTCGCCGCGTCACATCGGATCCGACCGGCGGCGGGGGCGGTTCTCTCATCACCGACGACGGTTTTACAGATTCAACGCCGGTGTTAGTGCTCCCTCTGAATATGGAGAAGTTCCGTACAGTCCTCTGCAGGTTCGCCGTCCTGCTCTCAGGTCGAACCTGATTGGTCGGTCTCGCCTGCTGCGGCGGATCGTGAAGAACAGTCGAGGTGGAAAAGAGGAGAGGATAATGCAGCAAAGACGCCAACTCGTCTTCGTGGATGAAGAGATTCTGATCGGAAGGAGGAGGATCTGCTGCTCCTCCGGTGAGCTCCGGCGGAGGAGGGGATGGATTAACGTCGGGGATATGGACGTAGTGCCGAAGCAGCTCCATACTATCATCGTGAGGCCTAATTAATGCAAAGGCCAAAATCAGAATCAAAAGCAGAAAGATTGAAGAGGGAAGAACTACTTACATTGCAGATGTTGTCGGAAGATCGATCCCTCAGGCGGCGGGCTGCTGAAATGCCGGTGTCTTATACAAAACCGAAAGGACGTTTCTTCGAGGTGACGAATGGTTTGTTCTTGTACGTAGAGGATAAGGTCTCTCTCTCTCTCTCTGTATGTTGGCTCTTCGATATTCCACACTTGTCTGGGTTTGTGTACACACCTGGGAACTCATGTTTTTTGTTATAAGCGGAATAAAATACACCAAAAAGTTAGGGCTCCGTTATAATGGAAACAAATAGGGGTGTGAATCCGGCTGAGCCGGTCGGCCCGAACCCCCCACTCGGTCTAAAGGTTTTGGATTAGGGTTTGGGTCGGTCCAAAGGTTTTGGATTAGGGTTCGGGTCGGCTTGAATTTTTTCGGACTTCATAATTAAAACACAAAACCCGACTTTATAGAACTAGTATTCGGATTGGATTGGGTCGGCCGCTTTCGGAAACTTTTCGAGCCTATATTTTTAAATTTGAAATCCCTTATTTTTTTATTGGGTTCTATAAGAAGAGACCAAGAGAATCTTCTCGCAGTGCTTAGCACCGGACCTAAATCGAACAACCCGAAAAAGAATTCGAAAAAATTAAGAAAACTCTAAGAAAAAAATTGGAAAAACACTTAGAAGAAAGACTTATACTTAAGAGTTTCTATTTCTTTGATTTTTCTTGATTATACAAATGAGAGGGATGGAGTATTTATAACCCCATGATTACAACTATTTATATAAAAATCTTACATTAAAATATTCAAAATCTAGAGTTTTATATAATATTTTATAATAATTTTATTATAATTATCTAGATTTGTTATAGAAAAATCTAGATATTATTCTTCCAAAATTTTTTAGAAATTGGATCAAAATTAATATTGGGTTTGGTTTATTGGATCAATGATCCATAGACTTGATCCAAAATTTTGGTCCAAAAGAACCCAAAATCAAATTTAATTTTAATAAATTCGGATCCAATTTCAAGTTAAAATTGACACACCCTTCAAACCAAAGTAGTCTTTCTTTTTTGTCTATCCAACATCAAAGTACAGTTTTGTTTTAAAATGAAATAAATAAATATGATTAGAATTGCGATGGTTGTTATTAAAAAAAAATGTTACAGTTTGCTAATTAAATGTTTTTCATTTGAGAATTATTTATCTTTCTCCCCATAAATTATTATCATGCCGGGTCTAAGGAACGATGGTGTGGTGTCCTTCAACAATAATTTCCCCAAACCTTAATGATTTGCTTAACATAATAATGATTTTGATGGATCCCAAGTAATCTTGGTTACTCTGTCTGTGCATATTGGATCATGATTCACAATAAACTGGTCCATAGGAAAAACCTTCAAAAAATATATGTACTCTTCAGATGTCGACAAAAAAACTCTATACCTTTTTATTATAAAAAAATCATATACTTATATTTATTCGCAGAAATATACCTCTACTTTTCAGATGTCAGACAAAAAAACCGTATATTTTTTTATAACCAAACAAACCCTATACTTATACTTATTCGCTAAAATATATCTATACTTTATAAATTTTATCAAATAAGTTCCTAAACGCAAACGCCAAAAAAGTGCGATAAAAAATCTGTTTGAACCTAAGCCAGCCGATATATACCCGAACCGAATCGAACCGATTAAAGTAATATATTAGATTGGTTATGAATATTTTAAATCCGAAATAACCTAACCGAACCCGACCGATATATTCTCAAACCGAATCAAACTGATTTAAATAATATATCAGATTGGATATGAATATTTCAAATTCGAATGAATCCAATATCATTATATTAATTTTTCTAATTAAATTTAGAATATATTGGATATTAATTGATGATATATAGGTAGATAAACAGTTATATTTGGTTACGGTTAATTCGAATTTGGTTTATTCGTTTTACAGTTATTTCGGGTTCGGTTATTTTAGATTTGAAATATTCATATCCAATTTGGTATATTATTTTAATCGGTTTGATTCGGTTCAGGTATATATCGGTTGGGTTAGGTTAAAATAGATTTTTTATCGCATTTTTTTTGCGTTTGCGTTTAGGAGTTTGTTTTTTAGAATTTATAAAATACAAGTATATATTTCGATGAATAAGTATAAGTATAGAGTTTGTTTGGTTATAAAAAAAGTACAGGATTTTTTTGTCTGACATCTGATGCGAATAAGGATAAGTGTAGGGATTTTTTGTAATAAAAGAAGTACATGATTTTTTTGTCTATATTTAAAGAGTACAGTTTTTTATGACGATTTTCCCTAAATAATATTATTGTTGCAAGAATTGATCAAAATTTGGCATCTTGTTGTGAATCTTAACAATCCTAAAATTCATAGTGTTTTTCTTAGTGACCCAAACAAATGTAAACCCTCCTTCCTACAACTCTTCAATCTCCAGTTTCAACTCCCCAGACTTCTGTTCGAATGATTCTTCAACTCATCCTCTTTAACCTTCTGCCTTACGGCTCACGTCATCCATCTTCTCGTTGCACTGCGCTGTGTTTTCGTTAAGGTTTTCCTTCAAAGAGCCCTCTCTATAACCCAATTCCTCTTCCTTCGTCCTTAAATCGCGTGCAATCACTATGATCCTTACCTTTCTTTGTGTTTTTTCTTGTCCTTATCCTTCTTCCTCTCCTCCTTGAACTCAATGAGCTGCTGCATCGGTTGTTTCGACTCGGGCCAATGCTTCCGTACTCTCACCCATAGCCATCTTCTCTTTCCCCTTCTCTCCCTTTGTGTGGTTCTCATTCTCGTTAGGTGCTATGGTTTTGGGTAATGTCGGGTTTGATGAACCATGAGACACAGTTAAGACACTTGCTATAACTGTAGATTAATATAATATGGTCTGGTCTGTCGTGTAAACGAAAATCTAAAATCTGATATAACATCCCGTGAAGCGGGAGCTCCAACAACAAGAACATGGCAAAAGTTAAAAACAAGGAAAAAGAAAGCTGCTGCTAGCTCTCTCTCTCTCTCTCTCTCCCCTTCTCTGTCTCTCTCATCTTGCGTTGACTCTGTTCCAAACGTCAACCTGAAATGCCCTGCAAATCTAATCTGTCAGTTGAGTTCGTGAACAAGTGGTTCGTGTTTCTTCTTTCATATACAAAGGTTGTTTTTTTAAGGAGTTGTACCTAAACTGTGTTCTTCATCTGCAAGAACCGAGTCAGGTTTCAATCTGAATTTGAAGAAGGGGCAAATATATATTACTAACCTGACAGCGGGTTCTCTTGATCCTCCTCGGGTTACTTGCTACTACCACTGGAACTGGCTTGCTCTGTTTCTTGACTCTGCCATTGGGAATAAAGCATATCTTTTTCTCAGCCATCACAGTTTATTATTCAAAGAAACCTTTGTAAGCGAAACCAGGAACAGGGTTTGGATAAAGTACCTGCAACATGGACGCTTGCATAGGGTCGAGACCAGGAAACTGCTGCTGATATGGTTCAAAGAAACTCGGGAAGGGCTGCTGCCACGGCGGCTGGAGTGATTGCACCGCCGGGTCTGCCTGCTGGCTCGGTATATGAACTCTGGACGGGACAGGGAAGGGTGAGGTTGGGAATGGTGGGCCACCCATATGGTTATGAGACATGGCTGGCATGGACGGATTCATGCCCATTGCCATGTGCTGCATACCATGATATCCCATTGACATCATCTGCGTGAACATTTGATTGATTTCATGCCCAAATCTCCTCTTAATCCAAGGAAACAGAGAGACTTGAGATTCTCACAACAGGCATAACTTACTGCATCAATGGAAAGTATATGACCGTCTGACATTTTGATAAGCAAGATGGACGGGCAATCAAAATAAGAAAAGAAGGATGAATCTTTTGTTGAGACAACAATGGTCACAAGACAACACCTGCAGTTGCAGCTGAAGATATTTCGTGTACTCGACAGCTTCATCCAATACCGAAGCTTTATCCGACTGAAATCCCAACCGAAAGAAATTCAGACAGTATCAAATCGAAGGGTGCCAAAAGGGCCGGCCCGAACCCGCACTCAGCCCGAGGGTTTCGGATTTCGGGAATCGGAACAAAATTGACACCCCTGATCAAATCAGAACCAAGCGTACATTACTTGAGCGATAAGTTTCATGAATTATACAAGAGACCTTGTTGCAGTGCGGCATAACTTCCTTCAGAGCCCTCAGCTTGTCGTTGATGTTACCCCTCCGTTTCTGCAACACATTACAAAAGATTTTACGGCAAAGAAACACATTCAGTATGCAGAGATTGGAGGGAAAAGCTACAAACCCTTTCAGCAAGATTATGAACTTCTGCGGATCGACACCTTCTCTTGGAAGTTGATCCAGAAGCTTGTTTCGTTTCCTGTACATCAGGAAACATATAGGACTTTTAGTTTTTTGTTGAGTAACTTTTTTTAATCCGGGTAATTTTAAAAAGGTACACGTGGCACGGCCACGTCGCCACGTCACGTCACACGATAGACAGAGCCGGAACGGATAAAGAGTAGCAGCCAACTCGGACCTCGACTCACCTCGCTCCGGCACTCGCTTCCGTCAATGGCTTCTCTCCCCCTCCGCTTCCGATCTCCGGCAATCTCCGTCCCTGAGAAAGACTTCTCCGCCTCGCCCTTCGAAGACGATGTCCCGGAGATCTCGTACAACGCCGCCGCAGCGTCGCATCCCGGCCACCGCTTCACATGGTATCCGGCCGCCAGCGGAGAAGATGCTCTCATCACCAGCGACGATTGTCCAGAATCAACGCCGCCTCCGCCGCCGGTGGTACTGTTCCATCTGAATGTGGAGGAGTCCGCGAAGTTCCGTACAGTCCTCGGCAGGTTCGCCGTCCCGCTCTCCGGTGGAACCGGTGGCGTCGGCACGGGAACCTGACTGGTCGGTGTCGCCTGCAGCGGCGGAGTGTGGAGAGGATAATGCAGCAAAGACGCCATCTCGTCCTCGTGTATGAAGAGATTCTGATCGGGAGGAGGAGGATCTGCTGCTGCTCCGGCGAGCTCCGGCGGAGGAGGGGATGGATTATCGTCGGAGATACGGGGAGATTCTGGGACGTAGTGCCGAAGCAGCTCCATAAGGTCATCTTGAGGCCTAATGCAAAAGCCAAAATCAGAATCAAAAAGCAGGATCGGATATATTGAAGAGGGAGAGAGGGAGGAGAACTTACATATCGTCGGAAGATCGATACCTGGGTTGGCAGGCAGATGAAATGGCGGAATCTGATATAAAAATCCAAAGGATTCTTCGCGGTGAAGAACGGCGGCATTCCCGATCTGCACTAAAATTCTGGAATTATTTTGTTTTTTATATAAAAACGGTTTGTAGTTTGTATGCAGAGGATAAGCTCTCTCTCTCTCTCTCTCTCTCTCTCTCTCTATATATATATATATGAATGTGGTCTCTTTCTCTTCGATATTTCCACACTTGTCTGAGTTTGTGTACAAAAACCGGGGACTCGTGTTTTTGGTAATATTCACCAAAATGTCCGTAGTAATGGAAACAAACGTGGTCTCTCTCTCTTCTCTTTTGTCCATCCCAGCACCCAACTACGCTCTATACTGCCTTCTCCGTCTTTTGTATTACGTGATCCTTAAAATAAATAAATATGATTAGGGTTGCGGTTTTTATTTTTTATTTTTTTTAAAGTACAGTTTGCTAATTAATTATTTTTTCACATTTAGCGAAGACCCATATCATTAAATCTTTCTTTCCATATTTCATTTGAGAATTTAATAAAAAAAAAACTCAATTTACCCCTTAATTAAAAACAACCAATTTCATTAACAAAACGGGTTTTATACTCAAAACTGTTTTTATAGGACTTGAGTGAGAACGTGGAGTGTTAATTATATTGTTTTTTGTCTACTACTATTTTTTAAATCTTTTTTTTTTTTCATCAGGTTTTCTATATTCTCTTAAGTTCTTTGTTATTCATAGATGAAAATTTTATTTTGATTTCTTAAATTGTTATCATTTTTTGAATCTAAATATATAAACATTGAAATCCAATTCAAAATTTTGAATTGAATTTACCTCTAGGCTTTAACTTTTTCTAAATTTGTTTGTGCCTCTTAACTAATTTCTTACCGTAAAATCACTAATATTCACTAAAGATAATATTTAAGACAATGTAATTTTTTATTTATTGAAATTACAAAGAATGTTTAATAAAAATAATAAATAAGGGCATAAATAATTTTTTATTTTTTTTAAAAACGGCAATTATTTAGAAATAGGGGAATATTTTTCCCACAAATTATTATGCAGCCGGGTTTAAGGAAACGATGGTGTCCTTCAACAATAAGTTTCCCAAACTTAATGATTTGCTTAAAATAATAAGGATTTTGATGGATCCCAAGTAATCTTGGTTATTCTAGGCAGATTATATATACTCCCTCTTGTGATGTTAAAGATATATAAAAACCAGAATTTATCCAAAATACTCTTATTTATTATATAAATAATTATTATCCGAGTATTTAATTATTATTAATAAGAGATAAATTTAGAAAAAACGATTAAAATTACATGGAAAATCTTAAAAATCAATTATTTTGAAACAAAAAAAAAATATTCCAAAACGTCATTTAATATGAAACGGAGAGAGCATCATATTTCACAGCTAAACCCCTCCAAACACGACGACTACCGGTAATCGTCTTACGTAATCTTTTAAAAAATACAATCATTTACAAAATTATTTTATTTTATTCTTTCTCATTCTCATATACTAAATGATACGTATAGGAGGTTTGTAATTGTAGCTAGAAGTGTCAATCGGCCTGGTCCGAGCCCGCATTTGGTCCGAAAGTTTCGGATTCGAGCTCGGATCGGCCCCATTTTTTCGAGTCTATATAGTTAAGTCCGAAAACCGGCCCTATATATATCGGGTTCGGGTCGGGTCGGGTCGGGCCGAACAGACCCGCATAAATCCCCTTGCAAATCTTTTTTTTCTTTTCTTCTTTAAATATCGGGCTTTTGGATCGGTCCGACTTGAGCCCGAAATTCGATTCGAGTCCATCTGAAAGCTCGATTTTTTTTGGACCGAGAAATTTAGGTCCAAAGCCCGTTAATTTTCAGACTGGACTGGGCCGAATTTCGGGTCTCGGACCCAAATTGACACCTCTAATTGTAGCCTTGAATAATTTCAGGTAAGGGAGAAGGAAAAAGAAAACTGACAAAAATTATTGATGTGAATTCGATTAGTAGTTTTTTAAAAGCAGATATTAATATTCAGACAAGAGTTATTGTACATTTTGTCGAAGTTTATATTATAAATATTGTGTTCATTACGTACTATAGTTTCTTCTATTTTATTTTTAGACAGAAATCAATCTTTGGCGATGAGGAATTAAATAACAAAAACAAAAAAGGGACAATAGCGATGGCGATTGATGATGGGGATGTAATGAAAAAATATGGACTAATAACTAATGACAATAGTACAATAAGATAAGAAGGGGTGGAACCAAAACTAGAAAATTTATCTAACTAAAGTTGATTGTCCATGTTTTTTGTAATAATCGGGTGTCTTGAGTCTTGTGAGTAACCTTGTGAGTGTCCATCTTATTTGGCAAGAAATAAACACTCGCACCTGGAGCTAAGGCAACAACTAGACCTACCTTACACAACTAGGCACTTGCATTTTATTGTCTCCCTCTTCTTTCTATTTTGTATCCATTTGCCATGGAAATTATCATGAGCTTTTGTATCATATCACATTTTAAAAAAAAAATTATATTACTAACCTGATGGCGGATTCTTTTCCTACTTTTTCCACTGGAACTCGCCTGCTCTGTTTTCTGATTTTACCATTGGAAATAAAGCATGTCTTTTCCTCATTCATCACAGTTTGTCATTCAAAGAAACCTTTTGTAAGAGGTAAAGTACCTGCAACTGGACGCTTGCATTGGGTGGAGACCAGGAAACAACTGCTGATATGGTTCAAAGAAACCCGGGAGGGGCTGGGCTGGACGACGGTTGTCCAGATTCAACGCCGCCGTTGCTACTGTTCCCTCTGAATATGGAGAAGTTCGTAAAGTTCCGTACAGTCCTCGGCAGGTTCCCCGTCCCGCTTTCCGATGACACAGGCCCCCTTAATTTAGTAAAAAATGTATAAATATTTTTTTAATAAAATTTATAAAATTATCAAATATCCCATAAAAAATAAAACTCGACTTCATAACATTATATATATAATCATTGCCCCTCTTACAGATACTTCTAAGTCCGCCGCTGACCGGCGATCGTAGCAATTTCCCTGAGACGTCGAATTAGGGCCTAATGCAAGGGAAGAACAACTTACATTGCAGATGCTGTCTGTCGGAAGATCGATGCCTCGGCTGGCAGATGAAATGCCGGAATCTGGTATACAATCGAAAGGATTCTTCGCGGTTAAAAACGGCGGCATTCCCAATCTGCACTAAAATTCTGGAATTAATTTGTTTTTTTTTTAAATATATTTAAAAACGGTATGCAGAGGATAAGCTCTCTCTCTCTCTCTCTCTCTCTCTCTCTGTGAATGCGGTCTCTTCGACACTTATCTGAGTTTGAGTACAAAAATGGAAACTCATGTTTTTGGTCACAAGCGGAATGGAATGCACCAGAAAGTTAGGGCTCTGAAATGACGGAAACAAACGTGGTTTCTCTCTCTCTCTCTCTCTTTTGCAACTCCCCAGCATCCAAGTACAATGTATCGCGGTTACGTGATCTTCAATATATATATATATATATATATATAATTGGGGTATGGTTGCAAATTAAATACTTTTTCACATTTAGCGAAGAACCATATTATTAATCTTCTTTTCCAGATTTCATTTGAGAATTATTTATTCTTTTTCCCATGAATTATTATGCTGCCGGGTTTAGGGAAACGACGATGTCCTTCAACAATAATTTTCCCAAACCTTAATGATTTTGATGGATCCCAAGTAATCTTTTTTTTTTTTTGGTAAAATCCCAAGTAATATTGGTCATTCTATGCATATTATAGCATATTTCACGGGTAATCCCTCTCTCCGAACACCACGACTACCGATAATCGTTCTTATTTATTTATTTTTTATTTCCATATGCCAAATACGTACTCCCTCTGTTTTTTTTAATAGTTGATGTTATACATAAAATTTTTTGTTTCTAAATAGATATTATTTTAGATTTTCTAAATAATTTTTAAATTTTATCCTTAATTAAAGCTAATTAATTTCAATAAACTTAACGAATATTAATTATATTTTAACTTTAATTAAGGGTATATATCACTTTTTTTACTGTTTTTTTTTTAATTATAAAAAAGTTAAAACGTTAGTTATTATGAAAAGAGGTTTGTAACCGTACACATATTATTGATGTGAATTCGATTAGTAGTTTTTTTTTATTTTAAAAAAGCAGTTTTTAATACTAAGAAAAGAGTTATTGTAGACTTTGTCGACCGTTTTTATTATAAATATTGTGTTCATTACGGTACTATAGTTTTTTCTATTTTATTTTTATACTCTGTGGCGACGAGGAATTAAATAACAAAAATAAATAGGGACAATATAGTGATGACGATTGATGATGGCGGTGTAATGAAAAAACATGTAGTAATAAGTACAACCAGTATAAGATAAGAACAAGAAAGTTGCTGTTAGCTCTCTCTCTCTCTCCCCCCCCCCCCCCCT